AAAACAGGCTGAGCTTTCGTCCATCATTCGATGGAGATCATCAGAGCTGGGTCTCATTCCTGTGAAAGTCTCACGTTACTACTAGGCCAGCAAGACTATCCGGCTCTATCTTACCTCTTATATAGATTCATACTTAAAAGACGAAAATGTATAGGCATAAATAGATATAGAATGATTTGGCTAATTGCCTTTCATATCGGTCATGCTAGCTTTTCTCGTGTGATACTGCTTGTGTGATCTCGTCTATTTTAGGCACTTCGACAGCGTCTTGATGAGGAGGCTCGTAGTGCCGCCGCCGAGCGTCAGCGTGTCAAGACCCTGACTGAGGCGAGGTCGACTGAGGCAACCGACATCATCCGAGCGACCACGAGCGCTATGGTCTACGAAGATTCGACGGAACAAGCGGTCGAGATCAGCTGGAAGGCGAGTATACGATTGGAGAAACGCAGACAGAAGGAGGAGGCCAAGCGTCAGCGCGAATTAGCGTTGAGTGCTGAAGAGGTGGCTGAACAAGAAGATGAAGAGGACGAAGATGCAGTGGATGATGAGGAAGAGGACAACTGACGTCAATAGATCTGTCGGTGTTGGGAGGCTGAGCGAACAAATAACTGGAAACTGAAAAGGTCGTCAATGACCGATCGGGTCCAAGACGTGTAGTTAACCGCAGATATTGAAGGGTCCCGTCATTTTCTCTCGTCGCCCCGTCTCTTCAGGCCTCATTTCCCCGTTCAGTTTGGCCCACTCATTAGTGAACTTCAACATTTAGCCAAACATCTGGTGCTGGATGTGAACAAAATGTGGTAAAATCTCAACAAATGCATCCAAGTTGGTACTCTTATAGGTTGGGCTGTTGGAATAGCTGGAGTTCGCAGAAGGATACTTATCTCCCTCTCATTGTCCTTAAATATTGATGCATACGCATACCCATATTACATTTATCCGGCTATTTAGAATTTCGCAATGTGTCAATACTTACATTGTTCTTCTGGTTAATTTGAGACCAAAATGAGCCGTGGACGCACAGCACAGTTAGGGTTTTCTTCATTTCCTTCGCACATTCAGTTACGAGTATGCTTGGGAGTTGCCAGTAATTTATGAATGATAATGTATTTAACTTAAACATGAAAAAACAATGTATGCAAGAAAGGTTGGGTTTCGAGGAATCACTTGTTTAATAATTGTTGAGCTTACTTCCTTTTCGAGTGAGTGTTGGGTAAAGAGATTCAAAGGTTAGTTCCACCAGAAGACGACAAGGATTCCTCTTGACAAGCTGTCGATTGGCTTTACTGGAAGATTCATGCTGACGCTGTTTCTAAGGTAATCTAATTCGATTTCAGTAAAAAGGTGCTAAGCTTTTGTCCGTCACATGACAAACATCATCAGAGCAAGGTATCATCGTCACGATAACATTGAAGCTAACGAGTCAAGATAAAACAATCTGGCTTTTGAGCAATCCCTTATATCATTCATTTTCATCGAAGATAATGAAGACCAAGACTGTGTGGTCGCAGTCATCTTTCGGTGTATAGAAGTTGTTTGACCTTGTTTTCTCAACTTGGTCATATTGGTAAGAAGACTTAGAGGAACCCACCTAGTCCGGAATCCATTGTATGCCCACGGTCCGACTTTGGAACTGATCATGCATACAATGGACTCTGAACAAGGTGCGTTCCTCTAAGTCTTCCCATCAATGTGATCAAGTTGCGAAATCAAAGTCAAACAAATTTTATCATTCATCTTGCTTGAAAAACTAAGTGAAAGGTACTCGTTTTTGGCCTCACTTTATGTGAGACTGTGACTGTAGATTTCTGCGAATAATAACTTAGCCAGAATTGATCGAGGTCATGGGACTATGAGCAGAGAATGTATTCACACAAACCTACAGTCACCTCTACGAGATACTCCTCCTTCGGCCTACAGTGAGGCTAACTTACGAATCACTCTCATTCGTCTCTTCAGACAAAGTGATAGCCTCTCCAACATTGCTTCAAAAATAAATAAACACAAAAAAAAAATAAATGTATATATTCGGAATTTGTAACT